GTCCAGAGCTCGGGGCCTGCACGAACGGGGGAGCGGGCACGGCTCGGAGCAGAGCGCAGCAGGAGGGAGGGAGGGAGGGAGGAAACGGAAGAGACCGCGTGCGCCGCTCGGACCCAGGGCACAGGGCTCGGTGCCCCTGCCCATGCCAGGCCCCTCGCAGGGGCCCTGCACACCCACCCCTGGGGCCGGCGCTCTCTGGGGACACGCTGCCGGCCACCCCCTCTGCAAAGAGACCCGGGGTCCCCTGCCCCGCACGCATAGGGGTGGGAGAGGGACGCGCGGCAGGACTGGCCCTGCCGGCCCAGCTCGGCCGAAGAAGTGCCCTGCCCTGCCCTGTCCTGCCCTGCCCCAGCCGCGGGAAGGGGCGAATCGGTGCCATCAGGAGCTGCTGCCGCCACCGCCACCAAATGGGGTGAAGCCTCCAACGGGAGCCGTGTGCACGCGCCAGCGAGCAAGCGAGCGGGAGCCCCGGCACCAGGGCGATGTCCACAGCGAGCAAGCGCAAGCCCCGCAGCAAGCCCCACCGCCCCCCAAGCACAAGAGCAGCGAGCAAGCGAGCGGGGGACGGCAGCTAACAGCCGGAGCGGGGGCGAGCCGCCGGCAAGCTCAGGACCGGCTGGGCGAGCAGCAGGATGAGCGCAATGGAGCACGAGCGCGGCAGCAAGCGTGAGCGTGAGCAGACGGAACGGCGGGTGAAGGCGGGCGCGCGCCGTGAGGACGAGAGTGCAGCAGGGCCGCGGGCCGGTGCACGCACGGGGAGCCGTGGGACGGGGCTGGCAGGGGCTGCGTGTGTGCGCAGGGGCAGGGGAGCTGCGTGGGAGCATAGGACAGTGTCTGCAAGGCACGGGCACGTGTGCAGGTGCATCCAGGTGGGGGAAGGGGCTGGAGGACGACCCGGGGGTCGTGGAGGTGGCGGGGGGCAGCCCAGGGAGCGTGTGGGCACGGAGCCGACGGGGGGACGGGGCCGCGTGTGCCCGGGGCGGGTGCAAACACAACCAGCAGACAGCGCCCCGGGGAGAGGGGTCCCCAAGCCAGGCCGGCTCCTCGGACCCCTGCTTCGTTTCGGTCCCCCACCCCAGACTCACCCGGGCCCCACAGCAGCTCCCTGGTGCCCGGCGAGAGCCACAGCCGGCGCAGGTCTGGGCGCCAGAGAAGAGGGGCTCCGACACCACGGAGGGAACCGGTCGGCACCGAGCGCCCAGCCCGGCGCGTGCCGTTCCCTGCGGGGCAGGAGAGAGGGTGCCCACGCTCCCTGCCGCCGGCAGGGCACTGCCACCCCCACCCGTGCGCACCCCGGTGTGGGCAGCACTGTGGCCGTCCCCACCAGGCCCCTGCGCCCGCCCTCCAAGGGGCCGTCACGGGCGCAGGGCACCGCTCTGCCCGCGGCCCGCCCCCCAGCCCTCCAGCACCATGCACGGCCGCGGGCACGTGCAGCCCCGCTCCCCCGTCCCCGACCGGCCTGGCTCCGCGGCGCTTACCGTGAAAATGTTGGAACGACGCTTTGACTGCTTGCGAATGGGGGTGGGCGTGTTGGAAGCGGCGATGGTCTCGATCCGCAGCTCCCGCTGGCTGATGCTGGGGGTGGAGGGCACAGAGGAGGAGTAGTCACTAAAGGCTCCGCTGCCGTTGGTGGCCTGAGAGGCAGAGACAGAGGGTGAGCGGGGCCGGGCGGGAGGGCGGCTGGAGGCATCCCATTCCCCTGCCCCCCATCAGGGCTCCGGGGCCGGGGGCACTGGCCTGGGACACAGCAAACCAGGGCTCCGTTCCCAGGCCGCAGGGCTGGGGAGAGCCGTGACCCTTTGCGCCTCAGTGTCCCCACCTCTAAAACGGAGCTAAAGATGCCATGCTGCTTGGCAACAGGAGACCTGCAGGCGAAAGGGACTGGGCGATTTCCGGAGACGCCCCTCGGGGTCAGGCCGGCCGTGTCGGCTGGGGTCACACCGGTGCCTCGACCGCAGGCAGCGGGGCTCGAGGGAGGCATGGTCACGACTGGGGTGATGGCTCCCCTCTCGCCAGGCCGCATGCCTCTGGCCACGTGGGAGTGCAGGCTCCATGCGGGCAGCTGGGAGCTCTGTCCATCCGGACACGGCTCTGCACAAGTGCTGGGGGCGGCCGGCCAGCACAGCCAAGCCCCCGCCCCGGGGCACGAGCAGGCACCCCCTGCCCTGGGAGCAGCAAGCACGGGCCAGGCATCAAAGCAGCCCCTGCCGCCCACAGCTGGTCCCAGCTTTGGTCCCGGGAGAAGCAGGCTCCGGAGGGCCCCGGACCGCGGTCGTGGAGGCGACTGATGCATCCCTGCAGCCCGTGCATGGGGGGCTGTCGCCAGCTCTGCTGCAGGGACGACGCGTGAAAGGACACGTCTGCTGCTGGCTGTCCCGGCAAGGCTGGGTGCTGTCCTCTGCCCCGTGACCAGCCTGGGCAGAGGACTTCTCTGCTGCTTCGAGGACGAGACTCGAGATGCTCGGGGCTGGGATCCAGGCCTGAGGCATCAGGGCTTATCGGCCCCGTGTGCGTCAGCCCCGGGGTGCGGGGGTCCGCCTGGGGTGGGCCAAGGCGTCGGGAAGCATCACAGGCTTGGAGAGCACCCGCAGCACCGCACCTGTCCCATGCTGCTGGGGTAGCGGGAGGGGGCTCCAACGGTGCGGGGACGCGGCGGGGCCCGTGCAGCCCCGAGAAAGCTGCTGGCCAGACGCCCCCGCTTCTTAACCCTAACCCCGCTCCAGACGCGAGCCGGCACAGCCACGCAGGCAGTGGGGACAGGCAGTCGTGGAGGTGGGACCCGGCACGGACCAGGCTCGTCTCACAGGGTGGCTTCCTCCCTGCCTGCCCGGAGCAGGGATTTCGGGGGACCCCACAGAGGCCCTGGGCACTTTCTGGGGCGCTGCGATTTGTGGGTGTCCCAGCTGGGCGCAGCTGCCGAGATCCCACATGCAGATGCGACGAGTCTCATGGTCCTTCCTGGGCTGGCTGTTGGCTCTCCGGCCCGTGGCCGCGAGCCGGGCTCAGCCCCGTGGGCCATTGCACAGACTTGGCTTGTGCCGACCCCAGGTTGTCCCGAGGCCTCCGCCGTAACCTGGCCCAGGTCCTCAGCCTCTGGCCACAGCAGGCCGCAGCCTCTGTCCTACTCGTCAAGCTAGTTTTCGGGTGCCCTGAACGATGCCAGCAGGACACCCCTCTCCTGGAGCAGCTGGGTCCACTGTCACCCTCTCCCTGGGGCACCCGGAGGCTCAGGACAAGCCGCCCCCTGCCCAGGCTCAGCCCCCCGCTCCCCACAGCTCCGGGGTGCAGCGGCATCCGCTCCTGGGGACTGTCCGAGCCGTCAGGCTGATCCCACGCCTGCTCCTTAGCCCTCAGCCCATGCTGGCTCCTCTGGGCGCCCTGCACGGGCATGCCCTGCCGCAGGACAGCTGCTAAGTGACTGCTTCACTCCCCCCCAAGGTCCTGACCCACCTGCCCAGGCCCAGTGGCTCCTGCTTCTCTACAGCTCCCACCTCTGACCAGCTGGTGCATTTCTAGGCAGCGATTGCAGCCCAAGGGCTCACCAGGGCAGGCACAGCGATGCAGATATGTCCCATCCCGGCTGCATGCTCCGTGCCTGACAGGACTGCCCGTTGCCATCCCGTGACCGGCTGGGGCGCCAGACCCCGCTCCTCCGTGGCTGTTCCCGATGCACGTGCACTGGCCTCGGGGCAGCAGCTCTTGTCCGTGGCTCCCCCAGGCACGACCCTGCCTCGTGCACCACTGAACTTCAGCCCATTCTCTTGCCTCAACCGACCGCCTCTTCCGGGCGATGCCCTGGTCCTACCATGGAGCCGCGGGGCTGGCAGGGAGCTCCACAGGTCACATCTAGTCCAGCTCCCACCTGAGGCAGGACCAGCCCTGTCCAAACCAGCTCAGACAAGTCTACAATCCAACCACTTAAGCAAAACCCCCAGGATATGGGGGGCCGCAGCTGCCAACGTCCTGCTGCTGCCAGGGTGGGGGCATGGGTACTGCAGTGACCCAGGCCGAAGCCACGACCCTGCTGCAGAGAAAGGCAAAACCCCCCAGTCTGGACCAGTCTGAGCATGGGGAAAATCCCTTCCTGACCCAAAATATAACCAGTGCTTTGAACCTGAGTGGAGGGGCCATTGCTTTGATCCCACGAGCCGGTCCTGATGATGCATGTTGAGGTCGTAGATGGACACATGACATCACACCCGTCCCAAGGACATGCCAAGAGCCTCCTTGCAGCACACTAGCTCCCTGCTGGCATGGTGCACCGTCGTCCCATCGTCCTCTCCCGTTTCACCAGTGCCTTCATCCCATGCGGCTCGTGCGGCAACCCCGCTTCAGCCAACGCTTTCCCACAAGGCGCCGGACCAGATGCTTTGCTGAAGCCTGGAGCAACGGTTTCTTCTGCGTCCCTTCTGCAGCTCCCAGGGTGGAAGTGGCAGCAGGTGGGTCCATCTGGCAAACGCCCGCCCGACTGTATACCCTCCTCCATTCTCCTCGGGGCTTTTTCCACTGCCTGATGCAGCACCGCGACTGGACCTGCAGCTGCCCGGGACCACATGCTTCCCTTTTCCCATTCCCAGCACCCATGCAGGATCCTCTCCAGTCACACGGGGCCATGCCAGCCTTGCTGGACTCATTACAGGTCCTTGCTAAAAGGCCACAGGGCCACGTGCCAGGGCTTTCCAATTCAAAGCTCTCCAAGCTTGGCTGCCAGCGCTGTCACAGCCACCCAATTTCTGTGCCCCGTTCCAGTCATCCGGCCTTCGCCCCTGTGCTCGGCATCGCCGACATTGCTGAAAGTTGAGGCCAAGCGCCCAAGGGGTCATTTCTAGGTTGTCTCTTGGCCCGCTCTGCCGCTGCCTGGTTCCCTCGGGGTCTGGTGGAGCTGGCCCCTGCTGCACAGACTCTGCTTCCTCCCGGGGCTGCAAAGCCCCCTCCCCGGCATGGGGGAAGCAGCACAGCAGGGCCCCCACGAGCCCCAGGGGCTCTCCTGGCATCTCTGAGCCCTGCCTCCCTGATGCCTACGATAACTCCCCGCCCCCCATCTGCACCTCCCGGCTGTGCCCCATCCCGGGGGGGGACCCTTGTGCTGCAGGAGGGACCGTCCCCATCCCCAGCCCCCGGGCAGCAGGGCCGAGCCGCGGAGCTTGCACCCAGCGCTCTCCCCGTGGGTGTGGGAGGCATCTCCTGTGGGGCATGGTCGGAAGGGGGTGCCCCGGGACGGGTGGGGGAGGCAGCCCTGCCGCGGCCCCGCTCTCACCTGGTTGATGTGCACAGAGGGGATGGAGGCCGCAGAGACGGACGAGTGGCTGGGCGAGTTGGGCAGGGACTTGCAGGGGCCGATGGAGAGCTGCTGCTTCTTGCGCAGGGCGACCACCTTCTGCGCCACTGCAAGAGGAGAACAGGGTCAGGGGCCAGGCCAGGCGGCAGCTTTCCTAGAGGCCCCAGCCGCGCTGTGGGCTACAGTCAGTCCCTGGGCTTGGCCCTGGGGAAATCTAACCCGTGACCTGCTCACACCCGGCTCCCCAGTGACCAGGACCAGGGATGCAGCCCCGCACGTGCCCCAAATGGCCCCGACCACCCAGCTCCAGCCCAGACACCAAGCTCCCTCCCCTGGGCTGCCCTGCCATAACCCCCGGCAGCCCACGGTCCAGTCTGCCCACCTCCCAGCATGCAGAACTGAGGGCTGCCGTGCCAGCCGCATGCAGGGGCTGTCCAGGCTGCAGCAGGCAGCATGGGAGGCGGGGAGCCCCCAACCAGCAGCGCTCCCCTGCAACAAGGGGCCAGGCACCTCTGGTCTCCTCCACCACGGGGCCGAGCCGCACAGCCCCGGCCCCACGAACAGGAGCAGGCCCACTCTGCACGCCCTTCCCCACCTCCTCGCTGGACTGGGCCTCGACTGGAGGGCCCCCATCACGCCGGGCACTGGCCCCATGCAGGGCTGGAGACCGTGTCCACGGGGCTGTGACCACGGCCTGGCGAGATGGAGATGCAACGAGACGGGCTGGGCAGCAACAGTTGCGTCACTCCAAGCGGAGGGAGGAGGCTTCTCGCCCTCTCCGTGGCCCAGGCGAAGGCCAGCAGGCCCCAATGCACGCAGGCCACGCCACCGGGGCAGGTGCTGGCAGATGCCCAGGCCAAGCATGTGGACCAGAGCCTCCTGGACTCTTCAGGAGCCGGCTGAGGATGGCTGCTCGCACACGACCTGCATGGTGGGTCCGGGGGGGCATTGGTGCTTCGGCACCCACCCCCTTTGGTCCCTGCTCCACCCGAACCTTAAACCCAACAGTCTGGTGCTGACACTGGCAGTGGCATTTCTAGTCAGGCAGCGCTGAGGGAGTCACGTGACTTCATAGCTCACTGCCATCTACCCGCTTCCTGCTAATCTCTGCACTCCACATGTTAACGACGCGCTCCTCTTTGCAACTGTCTGGACGTTTCACCAATGACGCTCTCCTCCGTTCTGCCTCCGTCTGTTGGCTGCTCCTGGGCACGAACCTCCTATTTCACAGCCCCACAGGTTGCTTTCATCTCATTCCGATGAAGTGATATTTGGGTTTGCTTCGATCTTAAACCAAATCACACAGACCTGAACCCCCAGGATATCAGTGAAGCTTCTAGTTTACTTTTAACTGGACAAAACTGTGTCATGTTCACCATCCACACGTCCTTTCCAAAGTTTAGGATCTGCTCAGGCCACCTTGTCTGGATCCCTCCAGGGGCTCAGAGTGCACGCATGCTCCCCATGGCTCCCGGGCGGTTGGAAACGGAGCAGGGCAGGACAAGGCAGGCAGGGGAGGAGGCTGCAGGTCCATGGTGCAGTTCAGTGGGGAGCCCCTGGCCCTTGGTCTGTGGCAGGAGGAGGCTACTTTGGTGTGCCACGACCTGCCCTCCCCGCGTGGTCTGTCATGCTCCTCCCAGACAGTTCCCTCTGTGGAGACTACAGCACAGCTGGGCTCGGTGAGATCCGACTGTGCTGGGACCCTGGCTTGGAGCTCCTCTATCCAGCAAGTGTGCACCCCGAGACCACTGGCATATGAACCAAGGGGGAGGCGATGGCTCCGAGCCATGGGCAGCAGGGAGCGTGGGGCATACGCAGCTCAGGAGGCTTCACCTGGGGAGAGGCAGGCAGGGGATGGAGCAAGGGTGAACCGCACAGCGCTGTGCATGGGGCTCCAGAGCCCTGTCTCTGCCAGCCTGAGAGGCTGCTGTTGAATCCCTCAGGGCGGGGGTCTCCCATCTTGTCCGCATGACAAAAGCCTGGGGCCTGGGAGGCGATGCTCTGGTCACCTGGGCAGGGAGAAAGGCCCAGCCCTGTGCGCGGGCCCAGGTAACCAGGGATGCTTGGGAGATGGGTCGGCTTGTGGCCAGTATTGGCAGCTTCGGTTGGACCGGGATGCTGAGGTCAGAGGGGTTATAAAAAGGCCCGGGCCAGGAAGAAGGGCAGCCATTAGCCATGCGGTCATCCAGGTGAATCTGAACCTGGCTCTCTCCTCATCACCGCATGCTGC